TTGACTAACAGTTGCCATGCCAATCCCTTAGCACGTTGACTTCACGTGGCAGATATATACACTAACACACTAACGTCTCAGCCAGACTGATCAGCGTTTATTGCGATGTAAACATGACCTCTTGCTGCTAAACGAGATTACATGGGATGTTGTACTTAAAAGAGTGTGACAAATGATCACCTGCTAACTGTGGCTTGTCATCGCGCCCTGATAAACATAGCAACGGACAAATTCACTTATCTCAGTCTGCGCATAAGCTTACTATCGTGTTGACTAATCCATCAATCCATCCCATGTCTGTCTTTGGAATAACGTTTAGCTTTAGATGATGTCGCTCCTTTTATAAAAGCACAACTCTTCAAACGTTTTGTGACCGAGTTAAAGGAACTCATCTAAAAACTGTCGAGCAGCATCTTTTTTTTTTTTTATCACCATCCCGTCATGGCCACCAGCATGCTCTGTAAAAGGATGTCCACGGTGCAAAGTGGGTGCTGAACTTTGAGTGACCCTTTGTTGTAATGTGTTTGAATCTTAGTCGCAGGAGGAAGTGTGTGACCTGCTCCACGCTGCGCCCTTCCAGAACATTCTGCCTCGAGTTTACATCAAAGGTAAATGAAAGCGTTACAGGCAGGAAGCTTGAAAAGTGAAGTCATGTACCCACTGATGTCATCGTCTTTTTAGTACCGTTTGTACATTTCCCTGCTTGTGTTTGTGGGTTTATAGAGGGAGAGCGTCTGGAGGTGAGGATGAAACGGCTGGAAGCAAAGTACGCCCCTCTCCACCTTGTGCCTCTAATTGAGAGGTTGGGAACCCCCCAGGTGAGACCAACTGAATCCTATGTTTGCCTGACTTTGATTTTCTGTATATTTAATCCATAATCCACTTTTTTTTTCTCCATATTTTAATGCTACAAGTATTGTTGCCGTTTTTTTTATACCAGCAAATTGCCATTGCCCGCGAGGGGGATCTGCTGACCAAAGAGCGTCTGTGCTGCGGCCTCTCAATGTTCGAGGTCATCTTGACGCGCATCCGTAGTTTCCTGCAGGACGGGGTGTGGCGCGGGCCCCCTCCCACCAACGGGGTGATGCACGTCGACGAGTGTATGGAGTTCCACCGCCTGTGGAGTGCCATGCAGTTTGTGTACTGCATCCCCGTGGGCACGCACGAGTTCACGGCAGAGTAAGTAGCACATGGCTGGAGTTCATGTGTACTGCAGGATAGTTTTATAAAATGTCTAAAATCGAATGCAGATGAACTCTGAGAAACATACATATCACAGCCTGGCTTCTTTTTCCCAGAAGGAGCGTTTCCTTTATCTTTTCTATCAGGGGGAAGCAGACTTCTTTTGACCCAAAAAAGAAATGCAAAATATTGCAAAAACTTTGCTCATGGTTTATGTGGAAAAGTTGATATGAGTAGAAAGAGAAGAAGTGAAAAAAGCACAAGGGAAGCTGACTTCTTCAGTAAACTTTGATGTTGCAGTGTGGGCTTCTGCTCCCTCTGCACAAGACAAAGCATTTCAAGCATGTGTATGACTAGCCCTGTTGCAGAAGGAGAGCCTTAAAGTCAAATAAAAAAAAGGGGGGAAGTTGTAGGTGGTATATGTGACCACATCTTGGTTCAAATCCAGACAAGGAACATTGTACCAGGAAAAAAAAGATAATGAAGTACTATGGATGGGCTACACTGAGATCAGAATCACACACTCCTGCACCCGTGATCCCATCACCCCTGTCCTTCATCACCTCCACTGGCTCCCCATCCCCCAGTGTATCCACTTCAAACTTCCATATTATCACATGCAAAGCCCTTCATACCCTGCCCCCCTACCTCCATCGGCACACTCCCACCTGCACTCTCAGGTCTGCTGATGCAAACCTCCTGCCCCCCACTGCAGGACTAACCATCGGTCCTGGGGGGACAGGGCCTTCTCCAATGCCGCTCCCACCCTCAGGAACTCCCTCCCAAACTCTCCACCTTCTACATCGTCTACAACCACTAACAAACTCTGTTCTCATACACATCTTTGTATTGTTTTCATTGTTTTGTTTTCTTGATGTTATTTGTTGAGTGTCTGTGAGTATTCAAAAAAGCGCTAGGTAAGTCTAATGTAATATTATTATTATTATATGGAAGCACAACTCATGCGTCATTGTGCCTCTCCTTCCAGGCAATGCTTTGGGGACGGCCTGAACTGGGCCGGCTGTGCCATCATCGTGCTGTTGGGACAGCAGCGCCGCTTTGACCTCTTTGACTTCTGCTACCATCTGCTCAAAGTCCAAAGGCAGGATGGCAAGGATGAGATCATCAAGAACGTGGTGGGTAGACTGCATGTGTTACATGTCCGAGCACAAAAGCAGTTCTCCATATCATCCCATTAATCATTTTTTCTACTCTGTCTTTTTTCCTTGGCAGCCCCTGAAAAAGATGGCCGACCGCATTAGGAAGTACCAGATCCTGAACAACGAGATCTTTGCAATCCTGAACAAGTACATGAAGGCAGTGGAGACGGACAGTTCTACTGTGGAGCATGTCCGCTGTTTCCAGCCTCCTATACACCAATCCCTGGCTACCACCTGTTGAAAAGAGCCTTCACGCATAGTGCACAAACACAGGCGAACACACAGAGCTGTGAAACTGATTTCTGCCTCTCATTGGTCTCATAGAGGTTAAGATTAGGCTTTTAGAATTCAAGGACAAATCTTAAGCTGTTCCTATATCTAAAACGTGACTGTCTTTTAATTCTCAAAGCTGCCTAACAGTGGGCCAGGCCAGAGGCAGAAGTGTAAACTCACACCTTTTCCTTTTTTTATTTAACTCTCTGTGGCTCTCACTCAGACTCATGCATGCCTTTGCTTCCTCCTTCTGCTGCACACCTGTGGATTGGACCACTGACTCAATTGCCAAAAGTGTAACTCTCGTCATTGAATCTGAAGCAACTTGTTTGAATTCACAGCCTAAATGCCTTTCAGAATTTACAATGAAACGCTGAGACAAACAAATTGAACTAAATCATAATAAGCTATTAAATAACGAGACAAATAACCGATTCTTAAAGTCATATAAAGAGGTAAACATGGTGCTCTCAACAGTACTAGCACAGGCACCAGTACACCTACATACTGTCATACATGCCATCTGTTATGACCCAAACCTCTTTCTTATGATTCATTTCAGCCTCTTCACTCATGTTGATCATAATCCGGCTTGCCCATGTCCATGAAGCATAACGTCTTATCATGATGCATTTGAGTACTTCTTCTTCGTCCTTTTCTTCACCTGCTTGCTTTCACAGGAATGAAGATGCATAGCGTTCTTGATTTGCTTTTATTTATCTTAACCCCCCTCCCCTTGCATCTGATTTTTTTCTTGCTTCCTCCTTAAAACACATTTTAATTCGATACCAGTCCCACTGTAAATTTCACTGTTGAACTAAGTGAAGTGTTGAGTGTTGTAATTGTTCTTGTTTTTAATAATTAATATTTTTAATTTACACATCCTTGGTATACTTGCCTCTCTACTACTGGCTGGAAACCTCATTAACTGTTTTTTTTTGGTCTGCTGGAAAGATTTTTATATTCTGTAAATGAATACAGTGATATTATTTACAGTTGGGAGAAGAAAAAAAACATCTTCATCTGGGTAAATGTTTTTGCTTTTTCAAGAGTAAAAAAACAACAAAAGAAACAAGATTAGAAAATACCTCTAGGTTGTATAAAGATAGTGCTGTACTAGATTAACCTGTTTTGAGTGTGAGTGGATGATGTTGGTCTTGCAGACCTATACTGCACATAAAGGAAAAAAACATAACTAAAATGTCAGTTATAATTAAAGGGCAGTTTCCTTAATATAGTCAGTATTTACTATTCTTGGATATTTTTCTTTAGATATAGCAGTGTTATCAAAATATGCAAAAATCTGTCCTTATTTTTCTTATGAAGGAAACAAATGAATTATGACGTAACCCTCATCAAACAGCCCTGCGATCGTTTTTCTGCTCCGTTTTGAATGAAGACCGTTTCTTTTTGTAACTCCTGTGTCTTTTTATCATATTTATTCAACTCTGATGTATTGTTAATTTCAAGGTTAATCTAGTCAAACTGAAGGTATCCATGTATCATCTCAAAACCTTAGCATGGCAAGTGTAATTTATTGTCAACAATGGCTCCATTTGTGACATGAGGCTTTGTTTATGATATTGTTGTACAAGTGACCATGTTTTGAAGTACAAAAAAAGTGGAGAAAAAGAATATAACATGTACAACAATGGTCCTGCAAAGGATTTAAAATTCAGTTGTATTTCCATGAAATAAAAAAAATGTTTAACTGAAAAATGAAGTTTTCTTTTTTTACTTTTTATTTTAATTTAATGTGGAAATTATGCTATTCTTAGTTTACAGGTAAATTGAAAGGATCAAGTGTTGTCCTGTTTTTGAAGTATTAGGCTTGTTCAGAAAATAACATTTTCTGAGCAGTTAAATAAAATGAGTATCTAGTCAGAAATGTCTGTGTGGTCTAGTTATCTCATCTTTCTCTGAAATGTTAATGTCGCATCCTGTAGACTAACAATTTTTGAAAGCATGCAACCATTGATCACATGGTTCATTTAGCTAGATTACGTTATAGTTTCTGCAAATTGTAATGAATAAAGATTATTAGACTCTTAATGATTCAATAAAATGTATAATATCTCAAAGACCGTTAATATATAAAATTAATAAACTTCACAAAGTGGAAACAGAATTAATGATGCATTTATATTTGAATTTAAGAGAATACTTTTTGTACGACGGAGGATTAGAGCCACGTTAAAAAACGTTTTTCTTTTTAATTTACGACTTTATTCTCGTACATTTTTTTAGCGTGGCCCTAATCCTCCGTCGTGATTTTCCAAAATCCAAATATGAAGGGACGGATGACGTAGTTCCGGACTGGATGCCCATTGGCCAAACGTACGTAAACGTGCGTGTGACGTAAATTTGAAATTTCAGCGGTGAAGCGTTTGTTGTTGTGTCACAGGAGCTGCACCGCAGCCTCATTGCTACGGTTTGAAGTGAAGAGTTATTTATATATCTCTGCTTTTAAAATGTCTTTTTCAAGAGCCCCTTTGAAAAGGTTCAACGAGCACTTAGGTAAGTTTCATCCACAACGTCGTAGCTTGTTTTATATGGTGAACTTATCCATCGAAAGTTGTAATGTCAGGTTTGTTAGCTTAGGCTAGATGAAACACAGATAATTGCTAATGGTAAAAAAACGTTTTTTCTTAAACTTAACAATATAAGAAGTACAAATAAATAACACAGTCCCTCTGCTAACAGGTTGTGCCCCTGCACCGGGATCCTATGAGGTTAAACCTGGAGACATGAGGGGAGCTGCTTCCTTCGACAGGTCTGATCGATTCAAACTTGTTAAGACAGGTGAGTAACTGCGAGGCACAGTGCAACAAGGAGAGTCAGCTTGTTGTCTTTAACATAATGTTTTGTAACACTTCTTCTTGTCCCCAGCTCTACTGCCTCCACCGTCCCCCTCCAAAGCTTTAATGTCACCTGTTCGCAGAACTATGTCGGTTGATAGGCTGGTGAGTTTTCAGCATGTTACAATGCCACTCAGCAACAGATCTGGTAGTCCTACAGCTGTTCCTAGCCTAACCCCCCCCCCCTCTTTTTCTCTTGTGCAAACCTAGGTCGAAGGGTCAAGTGTAAAGAAAGACAAGATTGCCATGACTGTGGAGAGGAAACAACAGAAACTCTTGGAGAAAGAGGTACACTTCGTCGAAGGAACATTTGTGTTTCAGGATTTCCACATTTTGTTCCCCCCTGTAATCTGTGGCATGTGTATCATCTAGTCAGAACTGAGCCAGTGACAACAGATGTTACGTTTTGTATAGTTCCTATAACTACAGAAGTCATAACATCAGCATTTATCGCTTCCAGATAAGGTCCCTAGTTCAACAGCGAGGGGAGCAGGATCGTCGCTCACTGGCTCTGGAAGAAGAGCTGAAGAAGGTGGAGGCCAAACTGCTGGCTGCAGTTCGGGAGAAGACGGGCCATGCTGCGAATGTCACGACCCTTGAAAGACAGCGTGCTGAGCTCAAGAAAGTCAACGAGTTCTTAAAAAACAAGGTATGCTTGGCCTCAATGTCAGATGATTTTCTATTTATTTTATTTTCCTGTATTCACCAGGACCTGGATGAAATTTGTTTTAGCATTGTGGGATGAAAAGTCTGACTCTGTTTTTTTTTTTTTTTTTTTTTAAGGTGTCTGCTGACACTACAAAAAAGAAAATCAATTCTCTCACAATGGAGTTGATGGAGGCCAGGAGCACTTTGGATCTGAAAAACAAGGTACAACATATGTGCAAATACTTCCTTTATTTAGGGTTTAAAGGCAGGGTTTGTAATTTCTGAAAACTAGCATGATTTTGAAAGTAGCATTCCCTCAGTGCTGCGTCTGCACCCCCTCCCCTCTGTGCTCCCTCTAAAGCCACACCTCCTCACTTACATGAAAGAGCGCCGTTGCTCCAGAAGTGGACCTCAGCTCATCTCTTTGAGTGTGGGCTCGTGCATGCATGGGGTAGAGAACGAGCAGGGAGACAGGGAGGTGTGATTGGTTCATCAGATCGTTACCGCGTGGCAGACATTGGTCAAAGTTTTTACAGGCTTACAAACTGATACAGATGACAGATTTTCTTTGTTCTTTTTTCAGAGCACATGAGTTATTAATGTCTGTCAGGACCTAAAGACAATTACCAACCCAAATCTTAAAAAGTGTATCTGGAGGAAATTACCAACCCTGCTTTTAAGCTAAATGTTGAATCAGTCAATAAGCACATTTCCAGCTGCAGCAACAGTTGTTTCTTATGTTATTATTATTATTATTTATTTCTCTGTAGGAGTTAAGTGTACTGCACGTTAACACCAAAGGCCAACTGAAGCTGCTGGAAACTGACCTGCATGCTGCCAGAACTACAGTCACTACACTCAAAGACAGAAACAAAGACTTGGGTAAGATTAACCTTCAGCTGAAAGGACTACCAGTGAGATGAACAACGATAATAAATTAACCAGGACTGCACCGTTTTCACCTTTTCACAGAGGACCTTCATCATGTGACCAAAACCCTGAATGAAGAGTTTGAGAATGAGATTGCCAAACTGCAAGGTGAGATTTTCACTTTGATACCCATTGAGTCATTATTACCCATAACTGTTTGAAAACATAGTCTGGACTATTTCCAAGGTCTCAGTCTGTGTCATGTCCAAACCCCTTTTTGGACAGGTCGAGAGATATCTTAAGACCTTATGTGATTTAGATAATGACCCCCCTCGGTTGTGTGTTGCACTAACATGGAATCAGAAAATATTTACTGACATGTACTGTTCTCTCCATATAATGTCAAAGCTCAATGTTGCATTAGCTTCTTAAAATGAAGAAAAATCGGCTTAAACTTAATACTTTGAGGTACCTGAATTAGTCACTAAAAAATAATGATTTTCTTACTGCAAGCCCATCTTTTATTGTTCTGAAACAGGAAAAGCAGAGGGGGAAAACTTGCAAAAAAAACCACTTCCTACTAGCGCTGGTCGATATGGACCAAAACATATATCTCAATGTTGTTTTGCTGAATGAGCGATACTTGATATATTTATCGATATTTTAATTCTAAAAATAAAAACACATGGGCCTTACGCCAAATGTGTTTTATTAACAATAGGCTGCACAATGTCAACATGTACATGAACAATGAGAGAAATATTTATATACTTACTCTTATTTGTGTAAATATTTCTTGACATCTTACTTACATTCCTATTCTTTTTGATTAATATTTTATTGTATAGAACTATATCTCTACTGCTATATTGTGTTTTAGAGCAACTGTAATGAACAAATTTCCCGCTGTCATTAATAAAGTATTTCTGATTCTGATATAAACTAAAATAGCTGAACTGGAGGCTCTATGAATGACCTGTTTAACATTATTTTAATGCTACATAAACTATCCATATAAACAATGTTGTCTTACCCTATATCTTGTTCGAAGATATATCGATCTTAAAAACTATATATCGCCCAGCCCTTCTACCTTGATTGATGTTATTATCACTGATAGACTAATCATCACATGAGCCTCTGAGTTTGGCTAAATGTGGTTTATAGTTTGCATTGGATTATTTACTTTACAAATTGTGGACCTGGCAGGTTTAAACGGCATTAAGTAAACAGATGACTATTACTATTATACAGAACACGAGAGGTCAGAGATAATACTAGTGTAATGGAACAGTAGGTAAAGGTGGTTGTATGTATTACTGTCCTTCATGTAAAAAATGAACGATACATGTCACTGTGTTTTTCTGATTGTGTTTTTGTTCTTTTCCAGCTGTGATTCGGGAGCTGAGAGAGGAGATTAGAGCCCTGCAGGGATACCTGGACACGGCCAATGACAAGATCCAGGTACTTACTCGGCCCATAGGGCTCAACAGTGTGGTGCTGGAAATAAAAATCCTGTTCATATCCTGCATAGCAGATTTAATTATTAGCCATAATGTCTTAACTATCCAAGGTAGACTGACCACGAGCTACCCGAGTATAAAACGATGGTTTATTCTCCTGTAGGAGACACTAGTTTGTATGATATCAACCTGCTTTTAAGAGAATCAAGATTTAGTCAAGATATCGGTGCAAAAAAACGACACTACCCACGATCATAGAGTGTCACATCCCTGATTGGTTGAGCTTGCTGTTACCATGGCAATGTTTCCCGCCCCTCAGCGCCGTATGCTAACAGATAAGTTTCGCCAGCAGGCTAGCTAGTTAGTTAGCTAACAGTAAATGTACTAATAACCTTGTCATGCTGCAGTGAATGTAGTTTATATTTTTACACAACACAAACTACAAGATAGAACAACATACATTAACAACTACATTAACAGTATAAACACTAAAATAATGACAAAAGTTACTTTTAAGAAGAAACATTATCATTCCCAATGGATTGTGGGATGGGTAGTTCATTGACTTCAGAGGAACATTTTGTACACAGTCTTGTACCTTTGCCTTTTTTTCCATATTTTAATGCTGTTTTGGCTCCAAATAAACAGCACTTTAGTCATGAGTATTGGGGGTAGCTGGTTGTCTTGGTTCCAGGTGCCAATCTCTTGATATAAGGATTTAGTGAAAAATCAAGGAGGATTTGAATGGGGAAATTTACTTCCAGAACCAGAGACGCCGAAAAAGTGTGCAGTCACTGTAGAGCCCTATAAGAAAGATCTTTGGAAATGTGACCTCATTCCGGGACATGCTTGACCTGTTTGCTTTTCTAGGATCTTCGCTTGAATCTCAAAGAGCAGATGCGGGAGAAGGCTGTCGCTGGTTGTCAGGTGGAGAAAACAAAGTAAGCAAATGCCACTGGGTCCTTCAAACAAGTACGATCTCACCTGTATACCATGAAACTATTCCTTCACTTGTTTTCCTTTACAGAGAGCTAGAGACAGAACTAGAGCAGTGCACTGCTGAGTTAAACAACACTCAAGAGGAGCTGAGACGTAAAGAGGAGGAGGCTCAGAGATTCAAACAAGAGCTGCACTCTTCAAAGGCTGCTTTAGTGGAAGTGGAGAAGAGGTTGGAGGATCAGGAGCTGGAGCTTCAGTCTTCACAGACGTCGGTGAGCGACATGGAGGAGCAAATGAAGACAGCCAACCAAGAAGTCCAAGAGTCTCGAGCAACGGTCCGGCAGCAGGAGACCGAGCTTGCGAGGCTGAGGGAGGTGCTCAGGAGGACAGAGAAGGAGCTTGATGAGAGGGTGGAACATCTTGAACAGAGGTATCTGTTCTGTGAGGAAGAGAGATGTAAGTTCCCCAACATCCTGTTGCAATGTTTTAAATAATTGAAAGGTAAGTTGACAGTCATTTGATGGATGTATTGTGGATTTTTTGTTTGTTTTTAGGCAAGACTCAAGAGCAGGGTCTGAGGAGGGTGCAGGAGTTGAAGACGGAGCTTAATTTGCTAAAGGAGGCTAAAAGAGATGAGAGCAACAGACTGATTCAGCTCGAGCAAGAACACTCCGCTCTAACTGAGGAGCTGACGAAAGAAAAGGTAGCACAGAAGTTTTGTCTTTATTTGTTAGATTTAATTTGAATCACTTTGGCTGTAACTGATCCGTTGCTGATTTTCTGCAGGCACTCGTAGACTCCCTAACCGTGCTGGTGGAGCAGGAGCGGGAGGAGTCAGAGGAGAGGTTCAGACAGCTCAAGGAGGAGATGGAGGAGGTGCTGGGAGAGCTTGCTGTCTTGGAGGAGCAGGAGGAGGGGAGGCAGGAGGCTCTGAAGAGGCATCAGGAGGAAAAGGAAGAGTTGAAAAAACAGCTGAGTGACACCTGGGCAGTGTCTGAGAGGTGAGTAACAACCAAACATGCTGATAACAAGTGTTACTGGAAAGGAAAAGAAGGAACTGTCTTTGTGCTGTGACTTAGAGTTACAGGCATGCAGAGCTCAGAGCTACATCACAATGTTGACAGACATCGGGGTCGCTGTCCGATTCTAACAAACTTCAGTTTTGCAAGTTATCTCTCAACCTTGTCTTTGGAGTTACGAGGCCAGCATGTTCTTTTTTTTTGAATGAGGTTCTAGCTAGCCTACAGAGAAAGAATAGTGCAGAGTGGTAGTCATGACAACTAGACTAATCTGAAGTCATAATTTGAACAAAGGCCGCATTTTGATGTTCACCTTACAGCTCTGGCTGCAATTAAAAACGTTTAATTAGGGGCGCTGGAAGAGCAGTGGTTAGTGCGTTGTGGTCCTCCAAGCAGGCGGCCCGGGTTCAAATCCGATCTGTGGCTCCTTTCCCACGTGTCATTCCCCTCTCTCTCCCATCCTGATTTCTGACTCTATCCACTGTCCTGTCTATAAACTAAAGGCACAAAAGTGGCCAAGCACAATTTCTCTAAAAAGAAAGAGAATACTTCTCTGATAAATTGTTTCTGTTTCTAACCCATCCATCAGTTCATCTGTTGTTATTTAATCTCCTCCTGTCAAAGAGTTGCTCTGTTATGTAATTCACCACTGACAGACAGATTTTGTAATGTTTGAAATATATAATAACTTTCAGAAAATGTTCCCCATTATTATCTCTACAAGTAATCAAAGTCTTTGCATTTTAGAAAAACAAATTCAAAAAGAGCTCCAATGGTGATTTTTTGGGGGCGGCTGTGGCTCAGTGGTAGAGTTGGCCGTCTCTTAACTGTAAGGTTAGGGGTTTGATCCCAAGCTCCTGCAGCCACATGGCCGATGTGTCCTTGGGCGAGACACTAAACCCCAAGTTGCTGCCACTGCTTCCTCTGCGGCGTATGAATGTGTGTGACTTGACACAGCAGCTTTTGCCCTCAGGGTGTGAATGTGTGGCATGAGGTCTAAATGTGCTTTGAGTCCATTCACCATGTTATGACAAGTATAACATGAATTATTTGTTGCAGTAAAGTCAAGAAACCTGCTTTCAACACATCTAAACTGTGCTCTTGGTATTTTTAGTAAGAACAATGATGTCGCTGCTTTAAAAGAGGAACATTTAGCTGCTAAGAGGGAACTCCAAGAAGCACTCACAAACTCACTGAGCAAGATGGCAGACGTTGTCTTGGAACTGGAGAGGTGAGTTGTACTAAGTGTTTCTTGATGTCAAGTCTTTTTGTGTTGGCGGTTACCCTAAAAATTCTGTCATAGAAAGTTCACAGACGGCTTATGTTACCTTTCAGCGCTAAAGAGGCTCTGAAGGCAGCCGAGACGAGACGGACAGAGCTGGAAGCAGAGGTGGACAGAGTAACCGACCAGATGAAAGAGGAGACGGCTAAAGTGGCTCAACAGAAAGATGAGGAGATCAACCGAGTGAAGGAGGCCTTAGAAGAGCACCAGGAGAGGCAGTCGGCTGAGGGGAAAGCCAGGGAGGAGGATTCAAGGTGTGCTTAAATTTCACTCTCTGTCTCGGGGTTAAAATAGATGCAGCTTTTTCACCTTGTAATATTTCCCTTTGTTTTTTTCTTGACTTCATAGACATTTGCTGGAGATGCAGACATCCCTCGCACAAAAAGAGGAGGAGATGAAGGCAGTGGAGGCGAGTCGCACAGCTCTGATCAGTGATCTACAACTGCAGACGAAAGAGAGAGAGGAGGCAGTGGAGCAGCTAGAGCTGCAGAAAGGTCAGAGTGTGAGAGCCCAGAAACTGCTAGAGAAGGTCAGCCAGGAAAAAGAGGAAATAATGGAACAGCTACGACAAGAAAGAGAAGAGAAAGTGAAGATCCAGACAGCCCTGCAGGAGGAAAGGGGAGCATTGGACGTTGAAAGGAAAGAGCACAAGCAGGTCAGGTCAGAGGTGCTCGGACTACAAACCCAGCTTGAGAGAGTAGACGAGGAAAGGACACGTCTTCTGTCTGAAGTAGAACTGAAAGAGCAGGCCAGGCTCGCTCTCCAGAATACGCTGAACATGGCAGAGCAGGAGAGGAATCAACTTCAATCTCGCCTGGGTGAGGTGGAACAAGGTGGTGCAAGCTTCCGGGCCCAATTAGAGCTCATGGAAGAGAAGACGCAGACTCTTCAGTTTATGTTGGAGGAACAACAACATGACAGAAGGGCTCTGCAAAAGCAGGTAGAAGTACTGACACAGGAAAAGGTCACACTTCAGTGGGAGATGGAGGAGCAGCGACAGGAACTCCACAAACAAATAAGTGAAGCCCAGGAGAAAAGGTGAGCTCCATTTCGTGTGTGTGCGTGTGTGTGTGTGTGTGTGTGTGTGTGTGTGTGTGTGTGTGTGTGTGTGTGTGTGGTATTTACAAGCATCCCTTTCTTTTTTTGATTTCTCAGCTCACAAAGTTCAGAGGTGGAACGCTGGAGGAAACAATTTGAGGAACTGTTTGCTAAAGTCAAGCCCTTCCAGGTCAGTCATTTCCAGAATGATCCTCATACTCCAGCTTATCTTCTTTTTAAAATATCTTTTATTGTAACATTTAGGAAAAACATTTGTGACAAACACCCCAGATATGTATCTACAGTAACTGTAGTTGCACTTTGCTTCATGGAGAATTTTAGTTCAGTTTCTGCTTTGGGATTAACTACAGAAGCCCTAAGTGGACATGCTGCATACTTTCCTATGATAACCAGTAACTTCTGGATGTTTTCTCAAGATCTCAATTTAATATATCTCGAGGTAACAAATGTGGGTTTCCCCTGATAACATTTTATTATCAGTCGTTTTCTTCAGGTCTCAACATATTTGTCATATTATTTGGAGATATCAAATTTGGTTTTCCTGCAACTATCAGATTCAATGCTTTTCATTATCTCAAAAAAAGAAGAGCTTGTTTTCTTGTGAGAAATGGATAACACTTGATTTCTAGTAATCTGCGAAATACTAGACTAGTCACTGAGAGGAGGATACTCCTGTTGCCCACACTAATGCGGTGAGGTACGCCTATGTCTGTGTTTTTGCAACTCAGCGAAATAAGTGAAAGTAAGTTGAGATCTTAAGAAAACGGCCAGATATGACTTGCTATCTCAGAAAAACACAGTTAATAAAATAGATGGATGCATGTCCATTCAGGACTTCTGTATTTAAAAGGCTGCACCTTCAAAGTTTTGATTCGGTCTGGTCTCATTAACTGCACTTGAAGCCCCAGAATGAGTCAAAACAATCACTTCATGCAATCTTAATGATTTCAATGTTTGATGGTGCGGGCCCACAGGAACAGCTCAATGCGTTTGCAGCGGAGCGCAATGCACTGCTCAATGAAAACGGAGCGAACCAGGAAGAGTTAAACAAGCTGTCTGACGCCTACGCTCGTCTGCTGGGACACCAGAACCAGAAGCAGAAGATCAAACACGTGATGCAGCTAAAAGATGAGAATACCTCTCTGAAACAGGTGATACACACATTCAGAACATTAAAACAATCCACATGTTTGGTCTCAAGCGCCCACACATTGCATGCTGTGTGTGTGTAGGAGTTGTCTAAGCTGCGGTCTCAGGTGAGCCGACAGAAGACTGACCTGCAGCAGCTGAAGTCGAGCCTTCCTGGAGCCGCCCGCCGCAAGTTTGATCCCAGCAAAGCTTTCCAACACGACAAAGAGAATAGGCAAAGTGACCGGACTCAACCTCTTAAAGAAGGTGAGTCCTATCAATAACCTCACTGAGACACCAAAATCTAAAGAGAGGCTGAACTTTGGAGATAAAAGTAGGTAGAACAGACATTTAACTTTTGGTTATTCATTTATTTTCATGACATCTGAGTGGAGACCTTGTTCTGTGTTTGTCTTGTCAGGAAATCATGCGTGATGGAGCTCATCGTCTTCACAAGAGCCAACAACTAATCGGGTCCCAAATTACATTAGAATGGTAATTTGAAAACTTAGTATTTTACTTTGACTCTTTTTATTTCTATATACTAAACAGTTAGGTCATCATTCTTAAAGTTTTACACTTTCTGTTTTCATTTTTCTAATAAATATTGTGTTTGTGTGTGTGTACAGGATTGAGAAAAAGGTCGAGTGAGCATTAAAGATGAGATGCTTTTAAGTGTTGAATGTGTCATTGAGTTAGATCTTTATATCTGTTTTAGTCATTGTAACCCTTTCATGTGAACCTTTCTTCTTTGTAAATAAAGACAGATGTTAACATTCTTCTAAACATGTCTTACTGAGATTCATTGACTTCCCAAGTGTAAAAACTCTTTAAACAAAGCCTTTTTATTTATTCATTTATGAGATCTTCTTGGCCATGTCGGTCCTTAGCCAGTAGAGAGCACTCAAGGACTGTGGCCACGATGTGGAGCGCAGCAAAAGGCCACATTTCATCCATTCTTTATACCAGCTTAAAAAATAAATCAAATATCACATCTTAAGCACAAAGAAGCCCCGGGTTATGGGTCATGATGCTTTATTTTCCTTCAGTTAATCAGACACAGCCAGGACTAGTGGTGTGGAAGTGGACTTTACATGGTATGAGTGATGGTGTGTGAGGAGGGACGAGTCAGTCGCAGTAGCCCTCCAGGTGGTAAATGCTGCACGGCCTGTGGCAGCACTGCTCCACGATGCCTCTCTTCACCTTGGGCTCGCTATGACTCTCCATCGACCGCTGCTGCTCCTGTCTGGCCCTTTTGGACAGGAACCCTTGGAAATGAAGAAAGTTTCCACAGCCATGTGTTTAGTCTTGAGTTTGTCAAACTATCATTTATACTGTTCACACTTAATGGTTAGATAATCTCATCAGCACACTCTGTTTCATCCTTTGACTTTCTACTTCAAGAGGAGATAAGGCGGAGCTCAAGCAGAGGCATAATGCAGCCTGGACTTGCAAGTTCACTTCAAAACCCCGAGTAGACTTTTTGAGGTGGAAGATTCAAATAATGCGTTTTGGGAGTGACGTAAAGAAGCTGGGGGGATCTCACAAGATTTGTGATCTCTGGATTTGTCACATGATGTTGAAAGCAACAATAGGACGCCACAAGGCCGGCCACACCATTGGATTCAAAGACCGGCTTTGCACACTAATGATGGCTTGGACAAATACAACGGTTCATCCCGGAGGTTTTCCAGTATGTTGTCTGTAAACATTTGTCCTCCAGCTAGTATCCAAATTGGCATTCTCATTAAACTGAGTTTAAACTTTGAACATGGTGGGCAGCAGCACAAAGCCAGCCCTGGCTCTCGGGGCAATGTCATGCTGGTCCTTTTTCTGAACTCCCGCTATCAAGGGGACAATTAAAAACTTATTCTGCACACAAGTCAAACCAGAGACGTCAAACTGTTCCCAGAGTCAGTGTGGCCTTACCGAGCAGATGATCTAAATCCCGCTTGTAGGGTCGGTTGCGACTGTAGAAAAAGCCTCGCTCTCCGCAAACGAAGTAGAGGGCATCGACCAGGCGAGAGCCGCACAGGTGTTGGGCGGGGGCTGCGGACACCATCGGAGGGTGGAGCGCCAGTAGTAACAGCAGAGACATCGCCCATGATACTCCGGCCATGGGGCGCTCTATGACAGAGTACAAAAAACAAATATGGAACCCTTCTGATTAATTTAGTATTAAACTTGGTTTTCAAAGACAAACACTGAAATTTAATCCACCCATCAATTCTTAATACCCCGAGGCAGGCAGGTTGAGAGCTTGAGGATGAAGAGATGTTCAAATTTGATCAGACCTTTCTTGACAACACTTGGGTAAGACCTCTTTCTTTTAATCACTTTTGATATAGATATTTTGTGATGTTCCTGACTGGATCACCCGAGGCTTTGTGGAAATAGTTTCTTAGAAATAACACTAAAGGTAAGCAGCAATACCCCCAACTCAAAATAAGAGCTTTAAAAGTAAGAGTAAGGAAATCAATCTGTCATTGTAAATCAGAGGGCCAAGAGACGAGCAGCTGGGAAGTAATGTCATGTAATATATGATTAAAAACTCTAAAAATCTTCAAGCTGATCATGAACCAAAGCAAGCAAAGTCAGAGAATGATTATGAAGAGTGTTAAATGTATGCATTGATGACCGGGGTGGTCCTCAGGTTACCCTTTAAAGGGGGTTACAGTGAAGATGCCTCTAAACTCTTGTAAGAACGCATTGTTTTTGAAGTTAAGACCGACCCCTGTTTGATGTTGGACATTTTATAGTTCATCATGAACACAACAGTTTTTGGAGATTTGCCAACCCCAAGGTTATGTTTAATGTTACTCCTTTACAGCTCTGATTGAAGCAAATCGAAAATTGATTTTGTTTTGATTCCTTGCTTTACTTTCATCCCCCTGGTGACCCTGCAGGTTTTATCTAAGTGCCATCTTTACCAGGCGAGAAAGAAAACGCCTTGTGTGGCTGATCATCATCGTCGATACTGTTGCTGTATCCTCAAGGTCAGTCCTCACCTTGCTGTCAAGTTTAGCAGCTCTAGTGCTCAAAAATTGAATTTTTTTATTAGAGTTATTAGTTAAATCCCTTTTTTGATGGATGTTCTCCTGGGGCGGAAGTTCAGCCCCAATTTCAAGGTGAAAAACATATTTAGCAGTCATTTAGAAACTATACAGACCTTCTGTGGACCTCTTATAGTGAACTGCAGATTATTGGATCCAATATGAATCATTTTAAGCGTGTCTTTAACAATGCACCTGTGCCAGCATTACAACATTGGCAGAGCACTCTATCTGGCCTGTCACCCCTCTATCACTCTTGGCTGTAAGCCAGGCTCCTTGGCATGGTAGACTGGTTGAATTATAGATCCTGCTCAGGCTACTCTTTACTTTCATCTCTGGTTATTATACGCATAAATAAAATAAAAAAAAAGTTGAAATCTTGAGGGTATACAGAGAAACTTGCTTACCTGCGTGTGAGGCCTCAGTGCGGCAGAGCGACTGGTCGTCACTGATGAGATTTTTGGCCTTAAGTATTATACAGGTAGAGAGAACATCTCCACTTGGCTACCTTTCCCCTTTGTAACATCTTACCTCCACCTGGCCTGTATCAGCCTCAGAGGTCATTAAGCCCGTTTATCCGCTCTTGAGTGGCACTAAGTCAGTTAATTGAGTGTGCACCAACAGCAGAGTTGACATAGAGTTGAGAACGCTGTCACCCAGGGAGAATCTCAATTCAACCCCTGCTGTGAGAGGGCCTGTCTGACACAGTTTACACACTGATCGACAAACACCATATGTCACGTTCTGGCAACTTAAGTGTAGATTAGAGGACAACCAGGCCTTTCAGTGACCACTAGTGGTGTGTTAAAGACAAAGCTGTGTGCACAGTGACTTATGTGACTAAGTCGTTTTTTATTATGAATCTGTTGCACAAATCGGGAGGGAAAAAAACGGAACAATATTATGTTCAGAATTATAAGAGGCGTTCAATAATTTCTGTATGCATTGAGTACTTATGTTGCTCAGTTGGTAGAGTTGTTGGTCGTCTCTCAACTGGACGGTCAGGGGTTCGATCCCCAGCTCTTGCAGCTACATGGCTAATGTGTCCTTGAGCAAGACACTCAACCCAAAGTTTCTCCCCCAGCTACGTCAGCGTGATTGAATGTGTATGAATTAGCTTAGTTACTTCTGATGTTCACTTTGCATAGTAACCTCTGCCATCAGGGTGTGTGAATGGATATGAATGGGTAGGTGTGACATGCGGTGTAAAAGCAAGCACATTTTCAATAACCAAGATAATAATAAGCAGAAAAAGAAAGTTTTTATTATGGAAAACACTTTTAAAGCAAGATTACAATGTTCCCCTCATAAACATCACAAAATAAATGACACACTTAAAGTCAGAGCAAACAACGTAAAATCACCTATAAAAGAAATTCATTCTTATATCATCAAAAGCTTAATAGGAGAGGTTATTAAACGTGCTTAAGAAGAGGTGGTTGGCTGTATTATGGTAAGACACTTTCCAGCAGACACATTAAGACACTTTCCAGCAGATCCAGCACTACCTAGTTGGGCTGGGAATCATTTTGGTGTCTCATGATTCCATTTTGATTTATGTGGTCAAAATCTGATTCAGAATCTATTTTCAATTCAGAATGATTGTGGAGTCATGATTCAAAGTCCATTTTTGAATGAGTACATACTTCAGGATCTTCAGGATGAAGAAGAGTCATCTGTGAGACTGGCTGAATTTATTGTTGCTCCATCTCACATTCTTCTGAGTTAAAGAGCTAGCCTTAGCACTTAGCAGGGAGTGATGAATTAGCCAAAAACAAAAGATCGATTTTTGGAAGATTCAAAATCTGTCAAGATAAGAATCTCGATCTTTATATAAATAGATTTTTTTCCCCACCTCTACTAACTGATAGACTTCCACAGCGTTGGTGCCAATAAGGACAACATTTGATCCACCTCTGTGTTTCACCTTGACCCTGGAGCACCCAGCAGGCCTAACCCAGCAGATCAAATTGGCCTATATGGACAATAAAGGGTTCAAAGGTCACGGCATGAGTTACTTTTACAAATCTCTTCTGTGTGCAAAATGTATTTCATTTTGAACTTATTTCATGAAAGAAGCGTTCTTTATGACTTTTTGCCTTCTGCTTTAGCGGTGTTTTATTGCACCCTTTGTCATGTGCAGCAGCTGTTCTTTTTAGTTCTAGCGTGCCGACAGGATCTGGGGGCGGGCCAATTTAGATGAGAGGTGACACGCTGTATAATTTTATGTCAAGTGATGACTCAACTGTCAGGCCCTGAGGAAGAAGTACACCTCGGTACTATCACCTCTAAGGCTCTGTGGTATAATTCACTTCATTATTTATAATTGAAAGTACTGTAGATATTACACTGGGAGACAGTTACTGATCTAGATGAACAAAAGTATGTAAACAGCTTGATGATTATGGATTTGCTTCATTTCTTTCTGCGGGTTTCTTAATTGGTTGACATGTGAAATACTGTTTTGTAATATTGTATTGTAAAACTTGGATGTGATGAATATTTAGCTCTCTACCACAGACATGCAGCTCTGATTTTATAGAAACAATTCATCCTTTTTAGGGCCACAATTGAACTGAACCTCTAAACCATCATTTATATCAGGGACATATTTGTAAAAGATTCACTTTACTTTTAGGACACAAAGGAACAAATCCTACAAACTCACTGTGAGTGGAGCTCAGGCTGATATTCTATCTTTCACTGCCTCTCAGAGGTCGAGTTTCACACTTTTTCAATTCAGAAAATTGAGGAGAATGATCTTGAGTTCTTCAGCTGAACTGTCCTGAAGGCAGGAATGGTGGTTTCAAAAAATGTGTCACATTCCCATTTTAGCTGTCATTGAGGCACTGAACTTAATTCTACTTCCATTTGCTTCAACTTACCTTGAAAAAACATCCAGTGGTCATTAAAAGTTTAAAGAGACAGATTTCTCTATGAACTTTTAAACCATAAAAGCCGTTAAATTGATAAAACTATCATTTGTAAAAGGCCTGATAACGATTCCCCTGACTCACATCAGATTTATTTACTCTATCATATGAACATGAAGATCTATATTTGCATACTGACATGCTTTTGAAGGATCACATGGGTAGAGTACCTTTCTGTAAAGACACTCAAAGGGTACAAATTGTCTTGACCTAATTTGTAGATTCCTCCACCAGGGAATCATGGGAGTTCTCTTCGCGTTGACCGTAGTAAGGACGAACGGGCAAAACTGGCTCGAGGAAGAGAATATGTTTACTGACGATGTATCCAAGTATAATTTACTTGACGTTTTTATCCCAGCAGCACATACAGCAACAGTACGGCAGATTTCAGCAGCAGTTCACTATCCTTATGCAGAGGTCTTTGACGTAATATCCGCTGTTTCCACGGCAACGATAAACATTCTGTCTGTCATGGTGGCTCATCATGGCCGCCGTCTTGACAAGACACGTCCCGTTACAACTATCAAATTACAGACTTCTCAGGCTTTGATAACTGTTGGAAAAATTTGAGGTAACTACATCTTTAATACATTTAGATACAGCACTTTACTGTAAATATTATAATAAAATTCTACTTATTGAACGTTTAAAAGTTAAATCTGCTTTTAGTTGAATCTGTTCGACTAATTTTTCATCCGAAGCTGCCCACTAACAACTAAAATATCCACTGTATGTTTTTCTTTGGTAGAAATGCCAGCAGGGTCATGCATGCCTGTCTAAGAAAGAAATCTTCTTAACTCGTATTTTTCTGATGTGTGTTTTCCTTCAGTGTGTGTACAAACCCTTTGAAAGGGAAACATGCTAATTGGATTCTGATCTCTTCGATGTTATCTGTACTGAACATTTCAGAAATGAAATATCAAAGAGGTTCACACCAAAGCAGTCCAAATGTTACTTTGAGTAAAGAGAGCTCCAATCCGTATTATTACTGCTGGATAATGTCACTTTTTTAGAAAGATAAAGTTTCATGCAGCAGCAGAAGCTTTACTTTCCAATCTAACTAACAGGGTTTGCTTTTCCTGGTTTTAAACCTCAGAGCTTCAAACTTCTGCTTCCACAATAGAGGACGTAAAGA